ATTTCGCTCGCCAGTCACGTCTCGTCTGGCCAGGCGGGGAGCCCTCTCGGCGCGCCACCTTCCCGTCGGGGGACCCCGCTTACCGGGCAGCCTGCGTGGGAGGGCAGCGAAGGGCGAGAGCGCGGCGCTGCCCGGCGGGAGACACGCGCGGCGTGGGCGGGCGGAGCTATGCGCGAGTCGGCGGGTCCGACGGGCCAGACGGCGGCTGGCGCGGCGCGGCGCGGCGCGTCCCTCCTGCGCTGCCTCCGTCCTCCGCCGCCGCTCGGCTCAGGACCGCGTCCCCGCGTGGCTGGCTCGGGCTGGGCGTGCCACGGGCTCGGGCATGGCTCGGCTGGCGGGAGGGGCAGCTGCGCGGCTGAGTCAAGGAGGCGGCGCCGGCGAACGGGCGGGCGGCGGAGGGAGGGGGTGCGCTGATGTCAGAGCGCGACGACGGGGGCTGCCCGCGGATCGGAGGCGCCCGCGGAAGAGGCTGCGCAGGACGCGGAGAGGGCGCCCCGCCCGCCCTTTGCCGCGGACTTGCCGGAGCCGCCTCGGCCGGGCTGGCGGCAGCTCCTCGGCAAGCGGCGCTCGCTCCGCGCCCTCCCCCGGAAGAGGCCGCGGGACGACGCCGCGGGGCGCCCCTCCAGAGCGCGGGCCGCCTTGCCGCGCAGGGAGGCGCCTCGTGGCCGCCACGTGCGCGCGGGGAAGCGCCTCGCCCTCTCCCCTGCCCTGCCCTGCCCGCGGCGGCGGCGCCCAGGCTGGGGTCGCGCCGAGCAGAGCAGAGGGACCCGGGCCGGGGCCGCGGCTTCGGCGCGTTCCCACCCCCTGCAGTTCCCGAGGGCGCACGGGAGCCTGGCAGCAGCGGGACGACCCCACTGGCGCCAGCCTGCATGGGGCGCTCCTCCCGCCGGGATCCCCGCGCGCCCCTTGCCCTGCGGCACTGCTCCCCAGGGCGCGCTCACCCCCGGGGCCAGTTGGCCTCCAGGGCCTCCTCGCCCCACTGCGCGTCCCCCGTGGGCTGCCGTCAGTGCACGCTCCGTCCTGCCTGGCCAGGCGGAAGGCCACACCTGTCAGCCCCTCCCGGGTCGCGGCCAGGTGCGCTGACGGGCCCTTTGTGGGGCGGAGCTGGTGGCAGGTTCCTCCGGGCCGAAGGGCCCGCGGAGGCGCATCTGGCTTCCCGCCTGCTCCCCATTCCTGAGAAAGCTGACCTGGAGATTTTTCCATCACGAAGTTATAGAGCTCTGCGCATGTTTTGAAATGGGTGGCTAAGCCACGTGGGAGAGGTCAGGCGGTCAGGGCTGCCCCAGGAGGGCTGAGCGGAAGCTTCGGGCCATGCAGGAGGAGCTGGATCTGAGGGCACTGGGAGAAAAAGCCGCCCCAGGACACCTCAAATATCCCAAGTCTGGGGCTGCAGAAATGTTACTTTGGAAATGAGTTGCCCAACAACTAACGCTGAAAAGTGTGAGCTGCAGGCCTCACTGCCCACAAATGTGGCCCCCCAGCTCTGGGGGCCATGAGCGGCTCTGGGGGCACGTGACTGGAATCGGCTGTGGCAGGGCAGAGAGCCCCTGAGCACAGACAGAAGCCACCCTGCCCTTTCCTCCGTGGTGGGCCCGGCACTGCCAGCAGCTCGGCTTCTCCTCTCGGGCTCCACACCAGCCCATCCCACTTCTTCCTGCAGATCCCTGTGGACTTTGGTGCTATCCTGGTGCAAGGGCTGTTACCTGCTCGGTGGTGGTTTCTACTTTGTGGCAGAGCCCCTGCTAGCCCTGCGGAAGGTGCCATGGCCAGTGGCAGCCAGGCGTTTCTACCGGAGGGTAAGAAAGGGGCGAGAGAGAGGCACGGCAACAGCCAATCAGAGTAGGCAATCCAAGCCCATGGAGGCCCTCAGCCTGGGTACTGGGCGAGTTCCACCCACACTTTATTTTGCCCATGGGAATGTCCCGCCGGACGCCACACGCAGGCCTCTTCTGGAAAACAACAGGAAGGCGCAAAGGAGGGATGCTGGCAGGAGCGCAGTCCCTGAGGCCGAGTGCCACAGTCCAGCAGGGAGCAGAGCAGGCGACGACTCCAGTTCAGGCCCACGGCGGGACAGTGCTGGGATGCTCAGCGGCTCTGGAGGACGCTGCTGGCGCCGTGAGCATCCGTCCTCTCTCAGAGTGGTCTGCCAGGCCAGCGCCTTCCAGTGAGATGCAGCGACCAGTACGGGAGGCAGCCAGGCTCCCACAAGAGTCTTTGAAGTCTCCAGAGATCCAAAAACACAAGGGGGCTAAGGGCCCAAGGCTGTGGCAGCGATTCACGGCTCTTCTACCGGGTTCCCAGCAGGAAAGCTGCCTCTGGCCCATCTCATCCGGCCACATTCAGGGCCGAAAAGGCCCCCCTCCTTTGGCCAGTGCAGTTTGAGCCAAAGGGCATTGCTAGGTCTCAAATGAAGCCACTTGGCTGGGGAGGGCATTACTACAGAACAAGGTGTTCCCCCCGCCCCAATGCGCCCCCAAACGCTCTGCCATAGCAGCTGCACGACTCTCCAAGCCTCGCCCAGGAGCCCGTGGCAGCAGCTGCTCCTCTGCCATGCTGGACTCTGGATGTCCCAGGAGCAGGAGGCGCTTCTGCAGGAGGGGCAGCCTTCCTCCTCTGCTCAGTTGCTCTGCAAAAGCGGCGGAGAGGCACAGCCTCAGCTGGGGAAGCCAATGCTGCCCTCTGCTGGAAAGGGGCATGCAGGGGAGGTGGGTGCCGAGGCCTCTGCACAAAGGGATCCCTCCCTCCCTCCAATGCCCAGGCTTTGGAATTGCACAGGCCGTGTCTTTCCACGAGGTGGAGGGGAGGCTTCCCACCGCACACGCTCCAGTAGCTTTGCTGCTGTTCAACTGGCGGGCTGCTTTCACGCGGAAGGCTCCTGGCGCTGCCTAGCGAGAGGCACTGCAAACCCCTCCATTCGCACCCCGTGGATTTTGTTTGGTGGCGGAACAGAAAGCAGAAGCAGCCGTGGGGAAACATGGGGCAGTCGGCAGCAAAGGACCTGATCTGGAACCCTCACAGCTGCGCGACCAAAGCCTCGTCTGGCTGCGTGCAGTGATGCAGCCGGAAGTGCCCCTCCCGTCAGGAGCGCAAGCCCAGCCGCCTCCCCTGGCAGGAGCAGCCACCTTTGCCACCCTGCTGGCTGCAGCAGGAGTGCCCACAGGGCCGCCCGGATGCCCACTCCCAGGCGCCCCGCCTGCCCGCAGGACCAGCCGCAGGGCCGCCCGGCACCATGCCCGTGGCCCCCAGGTCCCCCGTGGCAGGAGAGCCCTGGCGGCAGCCCCTCTGGAGCCCCTCACCTCCATTTTGCTGTGAATCCAGCTAAGCAGCTTGGTGACCTGCGTGTAGACACCGGGCTTGTTCCTCTGGCCGCAGCCTGTCCCCCAGCTGGTCACTCCGGCCAAGTACCAGCGGCTGCCATCCTGGCATACCAGGGGGCCCCCACTGTCACCCTGCAGTGAAGAGACATGGGCAGTGGACAGTGCAGAAGACGAGGGGCCGCTCTGCAGAAGCCACCTGGCTACTGGCCCTCCGGGGCCTCGGGGCTCGCCAGCCTCGCCCAGGAAGGCGATCTCGGCAAGCCAGGAGCGCGCCCACGGCAGGAACGGGGACGGCTTCGCAGGGCATGGTCCGCGTGCTCTTTCCGGGACCCCCGAGATGGAGGAGTCCTATCCAAGGGCACTGAGTGGCTATCCTGCCTTTTCTTCATTAACAGATTGTCATGGCAAGAAAGAAAATGGGAGCCCTTGGAAAGCATGGAAGGCCCACGCTGCCCTGCTGAGAAATTCCATGAATTGGCAGGGAGACGGCATCGCAAAAGTCTCACCCCAAAGCGCGGCAGGCACAGTTCTCCGTCAGGCTCCTCCCAGTGTCTAGCTGGGATCTGGCTTCCTGCAACTGGAGCCGTTATCCCATGCCCTGCACTCTGGGTGATCAAGGGGAGACGCTGGCTTCCTCCGCAGCGCCTGCCCACCTCTGGGCCCAGGCTCGCCTTCGCTCCCAGAATGCCCTCTTGTCTCGCTTGCTCCCCTCTCACACCCCCTCACCTGGCAGGAGTCTCGGCCCCCTTGCAAGTACCCTGCACACATCATGCGGGGGGTCAGGTGACCCTCGTAGACAAGCTGGCTGTTGCAGAGCTGGTAGTCGATGATCTTCACCTCTGCTTCACGCAGTTTGGGGGACGTGTTCTCTGAAACAGGCCAGCCGTGAGGGGTGGGGGAAGAGCCCCTTGCCCAGCCCCCACCGAGCCTCCAGCCCTGCTGCAGCCTGCCAGGGCTCTGGCTTGGCCACGATCCCTGGCCCAGCCCCACTGCTCTCACCTTCATTTTCGTTGACCTTGCCAAAGCCGGTGATGGAGCAGGTCCTGCCCGGAGGGAACTTCTGGCCAGACATGGGGAGGCAGGCTGGGCGGACCTGAGCTGGAGCCAAAAGAGAAGTGAGCCCGTCCCCTGCAGAGGGGAAGCCGTGGGCCCGCTTGCTCCACGGAGGGTCACCCCCACAAGGAGAGGCGGGGGGACCCGGGCCCGGCGGGGGAGCCTCACCTGAGAGGGCCAGGGGCCGGGAGAGCTTCATCAGCGCAATGTCGTAGTCGTCGTGGTCATCGCTGTAATTGGTGTTGATGATGACCTGAGAAACCAGGATGCCTTCGGTCAGATGCCTGAGGTCAGAGGCCCCGGCATACACCTTCCACTCATCCAGGATCTTCACACTATTCCTACGGAGCCCAAAGACGGGAGGTGAGGGCAGGCCCTCCCGGCTGAGCGCAGGGCCGGCCTCCCTCCCCGCAGGCCCACTGGCTCTGGCTCACGGGGCAGGCGGGGCGATGTGGGGGCCGACTGCTGAGCACACTGCAGCTGGACGCGCCCCTGTGACTCCAGGAGCAGAAGCAAGCGAACAACATTTCGGGCTACGAGGAAGGGGAAGAGGCTAGGGCGAGCCACTGCGGAACAGAGCAGGCGTCTCCAGGGCGGGGGCCACGCTGCAGCAGCGGGCAGCCTGGGGCGCACTGAGCGGAACCCGACAGCACCAGCTGCCCGGGAGGGAGGCTGCGGTGGCCTCGGAGACTTGCAAGGAAAGGGTGGGTGGGGCGAGGCGAGGGGCGCCCTGCCTCCATGCACTTCTAATTGGGACGGAGAGGAGGTAGGTGAGGATCTGCTGAGAGATCTCTGGACAAGTCTCAATAGATCAGCGGGGACTTGGCTCTGAGTTGTTTAACAAGAGCAGAATGATCTCTCCCCCTGCCTGCCATTTACTTCTGGAACAGAGGAAGCTTGGGGTAACTGGCATGGGTCTGTGCACGGAGAAAGGGGTGCTGAGCTCCACTCGGCTCCGACACTCCGAAGGCATTCTGGGGCTCGGGGCTCTTCGTGGGAGAGCAGCTTGCACCAAACCCCGGCTCAGGCGTCTCGCAGCCCTTGCGAGCAACGCAGCAGGCTCAGCCAGCCTGAAATGTGCCCACGCCTGGACCACGTGACCCTCTGGGGGGCCCCCTCCCCTCTCCTCCCTCCCTGCCCTGGAAGCCCTCTTCCTCGGCAGTCCCCCCTGCTCCCAGCCCCAGCCTGGAGCCCACCAGAGACGGCACCCGACTCACACGAAGAAGCAGTGGGCCGCAGTGAGCACCCACTGCGGGTCGATGATGGTGCCCCCACAGACGTGCGTGGAGCCGTACTGCAGGCTCACTTGCCACGGCCACTTGCTGGCCGACGCTTCTGTGCCGCCAACGACACGGCCAGAGATCCGTTGCCCACAGCCTGCAGGGCAAGAGGTGGCCGCAGGGCCCCGTGGTGAGGGGGAGGTGCAGAGCCCTGGGCAGCTGGTGCCCCCCCATCCCGGGCTGGGCCAAGAGCCACGGCGGGCGCCCAGCGCGGCAGGACCCATGTGACGGACAGCCCTTGCCCCCCTTCTGACTTGGGGGCTCTGATCTCAGGGCAGCCCTGCTCTGGCCCTGCCTGCCCCACGGCGTGTGCAACAAGTGCCAGGGAAGGACAAGCCCCCCCACACCACCGCCTCTGGGGAGCATCCTTACTTGTGCAGCGGAGGGCAACGTATTTCCTGGAGTGGCACTGGGAGCTGTCAGAGACACCAAAGCAGGCGTGAGAGGAGGCGGCATCCTGGCCAGGCGGGCGGCTGCCGGGCGCCTTGCCTGCCAGGGAAAGCTGCGCCCAGAGACGGCCCCACAACCCGGGCCTGCGCAGGCCAGTGCATGTCCTCCTCTGCCTGGGAGCAGCCCTTCCATGACCTGCTCCACAGAGCACCCAAAGCCCCCACACGGCATCCCCCCGGCAGGGCAAGCCCAAAGAGAGCAGCGCAGGTCCTGGTGCGCCGCCACATCAGGCACCATGGGCAAAAGCACCTTCTGCTTGTGGCAGAAGAGAGACTAGCCCGATGGTAGCCAAGGGTTCGTTGTGAATTGCTGTCCTGGGATTCAGACACTGGAAGGCACGAAAGGCCTCACCTGCCCCCCCCCACCTGCCCCCACAGCTCCTCTGGAGTGAGGAAAGCCTGCTTCTCGAAGGATGGAGATGCCTTGAGTCAGTTTGCCCAGCAGATGGTTCCATCATCACTCTGCTGGGCTGAAACTCTCAGCTCCCGTGAACGGTAAACCACGTGGCTCTAATCTGACGGCGGGGGGGCGGGGGGAGACACACACGAGAGGCCACGGACATTGGTCCCACCACCAACTAGCAGCTGTTTGGTGGCTGCTCAGATTCTGTGCATTTTCCTGCTCATTCTATGCATGAAAAATCTGTTCATGAGTGGCACCAAGAGCTTTGCCCACAAACAGACCTTTCTGGTATTTCTGCCATGGTCCCTCTGCCTTGGACCCCACCTGCCAGGGGAGAGCAGCCCCAGAGCACCTCTGAAATGGCAGGTGACCCTCGGCCAGAAGACCTGGGGGCCGAGGCTGCCGCCGGGCCACAAACCCCAACGAGCCCGACCAGGCCCAGCACGCCGGAAGGGTCACAGACGCGGCACTGGAAGCGCCCTGCTCGGAGACAAGGGCGCTCACTTGCAGAGGGGCCTCCCTCGCTTCTGGGGGCTGCCCCTTCACAAGACCCCCTCTCCAAGTCCCTCACTGCCCCCCACCCCAGGCCAGCCCCACCCCAGGCCTATTACCTGTTGAGGCTCTGCTGGATCGTGTCGCGCACCTGTCCGACGGAGAGACTTTTCCCAGAAAAAGGCAGTGGAATATACTCCGTTTGGGAGGCACTGCGGAGAAGGGAGAAGCGAGTCACGCGGGGGAGGTGAGCACATCCCTGGCGCCCACAGGGATCCCCCATGGAGGAAGCAGCCCCTCAGGAGGGGCTGGTAGGCCGCACCCTGAGGCAAGAGGGATGCTGGGTGGGGCCGGCAAAGAGGGCGCCAACGGTGCAGCATCCCCCTGCCCCAAATAGACGTCACCAGCCCTCCGTGCCAGCAGCGGCTGCGGCGTCGGCTCCCTGCATGGACCGCCATCTGCCTGTCCTCCCCAGAAGTGGCCCTGCACAGAACCCCGGCAGGACGCGCCCCCCCCCCCCCCGCAGAGCTGGGAGTGGGCCAGGGGCTTCTTCCTTCAGCCCTGCAGGGCCCCACCCCAGGAATTACTTCAGAAAGCCGAGCTGCTGGCAGGTCATTCTGGAGAGGTCCTCGGTCCAGGCCGCGCTGCACACGGGCAGCCACTGCTTCTCCACCCCGGAGAACACGTGCAGCAGGGACTGGTTCCAGCCGAAGCGCACTGTGGGGGGAGCGGAGGTGTGTCGGAGGGGGCAGGACCCCGCAGATGTACAGGCCGCCTCTTGAGCAACGCGCTCCCCGTGATGCCAAGCGGCTTCGCTCGCGCCAAGCCTGGGAGCCCCCCGGTCCCACTGAGCGCCCCCCACTGGCCCCAGGATTCATCACCACAGTCCAGCTCGTCACTCCTCTGGGCGCAGTCCGCCACCCCGTCGCACCGCTCGGCGTGCTCATGGCAGCTCTCGGTCGGCTCCTTGTAAACGATGCCCGTGCCAGATCGCCAGAACAGGACTGGTGAGAGGGAAGAGCGAGCGCAGTGAGGGGCCCCGGTGCCGAACTGGAAGCGGGGCCGACCCCGAGCACAGGAGAGCACGAGAAAGCAGCAGCTTCTGCCTTTTTTGGGAGGTGTGGTTTTGACACTTTGGTCTGGGGCCGCAAGTCTGCACATCAGCACAACTTCACGAAAAGCTTTTGGCTGATGCCACTTTGGCAGCGGGGTTTTAAAACTGGCCTTTAATTTGCACTAAAAGGCATTCACCTGGATGTTTAAAATGTGTGCAGTGGAGGTTAAATGGCACAGAAACCATTTTGACACAGATTTCAAAATGGATTTACAAATACTACAAGCATGCTACCTTTCCAACTGACACTATTTTGATCAGGTGCGATTTCCAATTGCTTATTAGAAGACATAAAAGAGAGTTATGCACATGAGACGCATGCTGACGCTCATCCACCTGGTCCATTATCCGGCTCTCACTCTGGCCAGCCAGTTGCCCACAGGACACCCAGAGGCAGGACATGAGAACAACCACCCTCCCACCCATGTTCCCCATCACCACCACCACAACTTGGCTCAATCCCATATTAGAGTCATCCAAACCGGTCGTCCTCATTGCATTCTGGGAAGGTGAATTCCATGGCCGTGGGGCACTGAATGAAGGAGAGCTTCCTTTTGTCTCCCACCCCATCAGTTTCATCAGATGCCCCCCCCCCCCGCCCCCGGTTCCAGGATTGATGGAAATCGCTAGAGAAAAAAGGCCCTCCCTTCCGGCTGAAGAGCGCCTTGCAATCCACCTGTGCTTTAGCTACCCTACTGGGCACTTCCCTGCTTTCTCCTGATTCCATGTCAGTACTGAAGAAATTGAAAAGCAGCGATACTAACATAAATCGCTCCACTGGAAGAATTTCACATGCATTCATACTTTCTGCTTACTGATGCATAAGAAGGCCTATCTTCTCATTCGAAAACTCTTAAGTTTGGGAACCATTTGTATTTATCTTAATAAAGACTCGAGAAAATATTGCCGCATTACTAGAAAGGCTTGGCCCAGGCGAGCTGTCCCGGCACACTGCACGGCTGCGTTGTGCAGGCCGCACAGGTGGGGTGGCGCCCAGGGGAGCAGCGCCGTCCCGGCACGTGGGGGGCATACGCGCTCCAGCACGCAGCCGCCCGGGGGGGGCCGCCCGGGTGCATCCAGCCAGGCGGGAGAGGCCCGGAGAGGGAGGAGCGCGGTGCGTGGCCCGGCCCCTCCCGCACCCCCGAGTTGACTTCGGGAATCAGCGGGGAAGGATGGGCCCGCGCTTCCAGGCAACGTTTCTGGCATGTCCGGTGAGCCAGCTTTTCGTGAAACCAGGTCACAGCAACTAAGGCTGGGCGGGGAATTTTTCACCTGGCTCGTCAGAGCCCAAATTCCTAAATGTGGGAGGCCTGTTTACACCATACCGTTGTGCATCTACTTCCCTGGCTTCATCAGCTCAGGCCACTGCTTGACCGTGAATGGCTTCCCCATTTCAAAATCAGCATTTAAGTCAGCTGGACCAAGCAAGATAAAACAAGAGAGAGCACGTCCAGTGGAAGGCGCAGCTTGTCCGGCCCTGTCTTCCCGTCTGTCCCGTCCCGTCTGTCCCGTCCCGTCCATCCCGTCCCACCCCCTCCCCTGCCTCGCTTCAGGGCCCCTCCCCATGCCAAGCCAAAGGAGAGCGAGGAGTCGGCGGAGGGGGCTGAGGGGTCTGGGGTGCTACGGAGGCCAGAGCAGGGGCGCCTGCCCAGCCTGAGCTTGCGATGGCTGCTCCATCACTCCGACAGCCAGCAGCACCCCAGAAGAGAAGCAAAAGGAAGGTCAGCAGCCACTTCACACAGCGCCCAGCCCTCCGCAGCCTGCCCAAAGCAAGTGCTTCAAAGGCCTGGGAAGACAGGCGCCTCTCACCCACACGCCAGTCTTCAAGCAGACGATCTCCATTTAAAGCTAAGGTTCACAGTGGCATCCATCATTTCTCCTCAAAGCCCCTGCTTCCGCAGAAGAACCTGCGCTGGTACTCAGTTTTGCAAGCATTTGAAATCTTTTGTGGTTTCCATAAGGTCTAGCCACTTGGCAGCAGCACCCACGTTCCCAGGGCTGAAGGAGCTCTGAGATGTCCTCAGTCCCGCTTCCGCCGCCACCCCTCATAAGCCAAGGAGGACTTACAGAGCAGGATGAGGGCCAGCAGCAGCACGATGAGGACCAACAGGCAGGCAATCAGGGCCACTCGTTTCTGGCCCATTCCCCAGGAGGCCTTGAAAGTGGGGCTGGAGGCAGCGGAGGCAGCTGGGTGGGCAAGAGAGAAGCCGGGTTGGTTACTCGCGTAGCCTGAGCCAAGGCCGGGAGTAGCTCTGCCCACACCCCCCCAAAGCACCCTGCCCGGGGGCGGTCCAATGTCTGGGCATGGCTGTGGGCCAGAGGGGGCCTCTCCCTCCTCTTCGCAGCAGCCCCCTCAGTGCTGCCTCTGAGCGTGTCTGGAGTGCCCCATTAAGCTACCCCTTCCCCGTCTCTCACAGGGAGAGCCCCGTGTCCACACGCACGCAGAGGAAAGCTGGCTTGGGGCCAGGCAGAAGCCACGGGGTGCTCCTGGCCCCACAGGGAGCCCAGCCCCAGTGAGCGCAGGGGCCATGGGCAGCAGCTCCCACATGCCACTGGGAAGCCCTGCTTCCCTGCAAGGGATCGCCTGTCCACGCGTCGCTCTCTGGGAAGCCGGCAGCCTGCTCTGGGGCTCCCCTTGGGATGGCGGCTCTGCCCCACACACAGAGCACTCTCCCCGCTGCCTGGCTCCTTCAGCCCCGGAGAGATCTGGCCAGCCTCTCCCCGCAAGGTGCCCAAGCGCTGTCTGCTCCCCACTCGTCTCACCCATTGAGTTCCCATGAGCCATCGAGGGCATGGGGGTTGCACCGGACTCGGCGGGGGAGGCTCACGGGAGTCCCTTGGACTGGCTCTTCAGGCAAGCCGATGACAAGCGGCCTGTGAGGAGCTCGGGGACCGGATTCCGGTTTCCATGGCAGGAAGCTGAGCAGCCCTGCAAGCAACGGAGGCCGGAGCAGGAGAACAGCCTCAGAGCGGGCCTCTCTGCTGGGGGAGTGGGCGGGCAGCTGGGGAACCTGAGGGGGCCCCTGAAGCTGAGCCGCCGAGCCACGGAGCAGGAAGGCCTCCATACAGCAGTTGCCGGGACGGTGCTGTGCCATCCGGACATGCCTTCTCAGTCCCCGTGTGGAGGGATGACAGCTCGGAGCCAGTCCCCAGAGTGCCGATTCAAGCACCGTGCAGCCAGGAGGGCCTGCCAAGACCTCCCAGGAGCAACGGGGTGGCGACCGTGACCAGCCCAGCCAGCACCAGCTCCTCGTCTGAGTGGGCTCCTGAGCTGGGTTGGCCCTGGTGCCTGGGGACAGGCAGGCTGGCGGTCCCCGGGGGTGCCCAGGCAGCTAGGTCTGGCCCCCTCCGCAATTTTGTGTGATGTCCCAGTGGGACATTCTCCTTTGCGCATTGTGAGCGTCGGAAGGAGGGGCTGGACCCCCCCAGGCTGCTCAAAGCACCAAGCTGAGCAGCTTCTCAGAAGGTGAGCCGCAAGGAGCAGGAGCAGCAGGAGCCCAGCTGCGTCCTGAGGCGCTCAGTGCCTGGGGCCAGGAAGGGGGGTGCCCAGCACTGGCGGCTCCTGACCGCCCCGCCCCCGCCGCTCCAGCTCCCCTTTGCCCTGATACCCACCTGCTCCAAAGGCTCGGCACACTTACCGGGCACGAGCCCCTTCCACAGCCTCTCGTGCTTTGCACCAGGAGAAGTCTGGGGGTCCTTACCGCCCCCCGATGCCCATAGCACAACGCCAAGGGCCCCTTCTCGTAGGCACCCGGGCTCCAGGTGCTGTCCGCCTTGCCCACCTGGCACGTCCCCGTCGGCTGTGTGGCAAGCAGAGGCGCCGTCCACAGGGAAACCGGACTAACCGGAAACGCAGCTTGGCTCCGCACGGCTTCCCTCCCAGGCTCCTGGAGACGGGCGGAAGGGGCCCCCAGGAGCGAGGCTGCTCCCTCAGGAAGATGAGTGGCCTCCCTGGCCCACCCGGTCAGGCCATCGCGCACCCACCCCCTGGCACGGAGCAGCTCCCCAGACCTGGAGCGTGGGACCCGAGCAAGTCCTGGCTGGCTGGCAGGCAGGCAGGCAGGCAGGCAGGCGTAAGGGGGAGCCCCACCCAGGGGAGGTCACCGGGCTCCTGGGAGGAGACATGGGCACCTGACCCGGGAGAGCTGATGGGGCAACGACGGAGTGGAGCCACACCAGAAGCCTGATTGCCCGGCTAGGCAACCTGCCCGCGAAGCTGCAGCAGAACTGAGGAGGGCAAGCGGGAGCCTGTGGGAGACCCTTCCTGCCCAGTGGGGTCCTCACCCCTCCACTAGCAGCGCAGCAAACGAAGGAGACAGGCTGAGATGGGGGACGCGGAGTTTGGGGTGGGTTCCCTGGTTCCCACACTCTCCTGCCATGGAGCAGTCTGAACCCAGGCCCTCCCTTCAGGTGCAGGATTGCCTGGGGAGCTCAACAGGCAGGGAGAGCCGAGACGCAGCCCTCAGCTCGGAACGTTGCAGGAAGGAAGCTCAGAACCCGGGGAGGCTCCACCTTCGCCCATTCTCCTCTGGGCTGCAGGCTCATGTGTCCTGCCCTTCACCAAAAGATCTTCAATGGACAGACAACATGAAAAACACAGTAAGAGCTAAACACGCAGAGAAGGAATATACGAAATACACTAAAAACAGCCTGATGGCTGAGATTCACAAGGCCAAGCCAAGCCTGGGGAAAACAAACCCGGCTGCATTAAAGTCCCGAGAAATGTTTCAACAGGTCTCCTGGTGCCGAAACACCATTGTGAGAGGTCCCAGGGGGACATCTGGAGAAAACGTTACTTCAGGGCGGGGGGGTGGGTGGAGTGTCCCAGAGTGGCCACCCACCAGACCTTGAATGACGAGGGAAGGGATGGATTATTTTGTCAATAAGAGACTGGGCGACAAGTGAGGCACTTGGGGGACAAGCTTGCAAAGGGCACCAAAGTCTTTAGGGCGGCAGGCATAAAAGGCGTGGCGAAAAGCCATCTCCAAACTGGCCCCAAAATGGTCACGCTGGCTCAGTACGAGTCCAGCTGAAGTGACTCCGACTGGGGCAAAACTATTGGAAACGTCATCTCTTCAGCGATGGGATCAGAGCAAGCGAGTGAGCGAGAAGGCAATGGGGTGGGCAGCTTGGTGAGAACGTCAACCCAGTCTGAAGCTGCTGTTAAAAGGGCAAATTCTTTGGTCATCGTTTGAAAAGGAATTAAAAAATAAATCGATGATGATCACCCAGACCTCATACAGTTCTTTTTTGTGGTGGGGAAGAGAATATAGTTGAGCCAGAAAAGGTGCCATGAAGGTCAAACAAAAGCATGGCCAAAATTACCCAGCTGCGAGGAGACAATTAACGTTACCAGTTTGGAGCCTTTTGTCCGGAGAAGGCACGGGGACCGCAGAAAGGGTGCACAACATGACCGTGGCGTGGGAATGCAGACAGGCCTCGCAGTGCCAGTCCAAGGGGCCCTCCCACGAAGCCAGTGCCTGGGAGATCCAGGCCAGATCGAAGGAAGGGCAGATGGAATTCACGGATGGAATTCACTTCCTTGAGACACGGTGACGGGCGCCAATTTGCGTGGCTGTGGAAAGGGATTGGACACAACGGTGCAAGTGAAGGCTCTTTGTGGCGCTAGTCCTGATGGTTCTGTGCTCCTTCCCGTATCCAGTGCTGAGGGAGCAGAGGCAGGCGGGTGCTGCTGTGCTGGCCTCGCCCGTCCCGGTGCTCTCGCAGGCTGCCAGCTGCCCTTGGTAGGAGGCGAAGCCGGACGAGAGGGGCCCCGGTCCAGGCCTGCCTCTGGTCCCTCCCAACCTTCTCCGCATGCGTCCTGGCCCAGAGCCCCGTGCCAGCGTCCTCTGCTGCCTCTTGCGCCCTCACCCCATGTGGTGAGCTGTGCGCATGTGCGGTGGGGGTGCTGGCCCCTTGCCCTGCCCGCCTGGGGCCGGCTCCCCCGGGAGGCCTGAGCGCCGCAATCGTTTCCGGAGGCCGTGGCCAGGGAGAGGAGGCAGGCAGGAAATGCCTGGGGAGGACACCTGCTCGGGGGCAGCAGAGGTGGCGGCAGGGCAGAGCGCGAGAGCACGGGCGCCTCTCGCCCCGCATACCGATGGGCTGAGGTCACGAGCAGCCGGGAAGAGGCATGCGCGGGAGGCTTCGCCGGGCCTGCTCTGCAGGAAGCGGTGGCACCGACTGCCTGAGGCGGGAGGGAGGCCTGCCGGTGCTGCTCCTGCCCTCCCGAGCCTGCGGCCCTCCAGGCTCTCCCTCTTTCTCCCTGCTGTCAACAGCAGCAGCCAGTCAGGGCTTGCTCGGGTTGCCGCCAGAGAGGAGCCGAGGAGGCGCTGAGAAGCGGCAGTGCCTGGCAATCATGCTGTGTCCTGAGAGTCCATCCCCTCTCAGCCCCAGAGCTGTGTCAGCTGGCCGTGGGCAGGGAAGGGCACTCTGCACGTGCCTAGAGGACCTCTAACTGTGATTGTGGCTCCGCATCCTCTGGGGCTGGAGCTAACTGTGAGCCCCGAGCTTCTGGCAAGTGAGAGGGAGCAGTGCATGGGGCACCCCTGCCTGCCCGCCCGCCCGCCCGCCCGCCCTCTCAGTGCCCCAGAATGAAGGTGCTGCCAGGCACGGCCCCGGGAATCTTGCTCATGCGACTCTGCCGGGCGGGAGAGCAGCTCTGGGCGGCTTCTTCAGTTCGGCACGTGGCAATCAACAACGAGCTTTGTCGGGGGTTCTGGGTCATTGGGGGAAAGGTTGGTCTGAAGAGAAACCAAGCCTCAGGCCTCTGGGGATGGAGATAAAAGGGGAGGTCCAGCTGCTCTCCACTCAGGGACTATGCAGCCACGCCTTGCGGTCCACCGTAGGCACAGCTCCAAGCCATCCATCCGGGCTCAGCATTCCCGTTTCCAAGGAGGCCCCACTCTGGAGCAAATAAGAACATAAGAAGAGCTGTGCCGGATCAGACCGAGAAACACTGTCCTTATGGAAAACGGTTACCCCGGATGAGTTTCTGAACACATGAAGCAGGAACGGCGTAGTTAGTGCAGGACCAGGACCCAGGCAGGGCTCCTGCAGGGCACCCCCACTGAGTGGGGGGCTGGAGGCCCTTGGCTGGGAGGCCGTGAGGGGGAGCCTGGCGAGCCCGGAGGCAGGGCTCCTTGGCAGGGCAGGGGTTCCCGGGCGCTTGCCCATCCATGGGCCATTCGTCCCTTATACATGCAGCTTAAGGCTGTGCGAGAACGTAAATGCTCTGCGCAGCTTCCGGGGCTAAAACAAAAACTCCAGTTCAAGCACAAAGTACGGTCAGCACAACGCCACTACAGCATCAGCCACTTTCAGAGAGGCACGCAATTCTGGCTTTGCTCCAGAGTGTGCTAAGAGGTGGGCGGACACGGGAGGGAGGGAGAGGCCCCAGGCAGAAGGGTTTGTGGGCCTCACAGATGTATGGGGGGCGCTGCTGGAGACAAGGGAAGAGGCCCGGCTTTAGGAACTTGGGACAGAGAGCAAGCAAAGGGCTGAGAGATCACAGAGCGCCTGCTGAGCCCGGGCCAGGACAAAGAAGTGGGCCTTGGGGCTGGACTACTGTGGGGGAGGGCTTCCCATGCAGCTTCCCCTGACCCCTGGAATCGGAGGAGGCCCAAGAGGCAGCTGGGCAGGGCCTGTGGCAGTCTGTGTTGCACCCCCCACCCTGGCGCTGAGGTGACCCAGGAAACGAGAGGGCGCAACCAGGCACCCCCACCCCACTGGGCACTGCCTCCCTTGGCCTCGTGGGGTGGGGAAGGCTCCAAGGGGGTGTCGCAGGCAGGGTGGAGGATGTTTGGCTCCATCCTGCCGGAGGGCCAGAGCAGCCGGTGGGCCAGGAAAGCCTTGGCAGCGGGAGGCCGGGCCGGGCCGGGCCAGCCCCGGGGCGTTTCTGTACTGCTGCTGGCTTCTCCGAAGTGCAGCTCCATTTCTCGGCCTCCCTTCCTTCCCCATTTCAGTTGCTCTTCTCTGCACGAGGTTTGTACGAAACCAATGGCGACACTGGAGCGACTGAGGCTGGGCAGCCTTGGCGAACTTGGCCTTGGCCCAATGCGTCAGGGGGTTTATCCAAGGCCAAGGGAAAGTCCCCGTTTCCCAAAAGGCCCGTCTTGCTTCAGAGAAGTATGGACGGCCCTCCAGCGTCAGAGGCATGTGATGCCCAGTGAGAGGATGACGTCAGGGCGAAACCAGCTCCACACTTTCGCTAAGTGCAAGGAAGCCCCTGCACACACACGCTGGCTCTCCCCTCGAACAGAAAGTGCCTCCTGCTTCACCGGCCAGGGAGCTGCCTGGCCGTTTCTCTGTCCCCTTCCCTACTCCAGGGACGCAGAGCCCCCCCAGTGCCAAACTCCCCTGGCTGAGCCAACGGTAGCAGGGCAGGGCTCGCCCGGGGCCCCATGGGCGAGACGGCAGGACAGAGGCCGGAACCTGCGCCAAGCATGACTCAAGCACCACCAGGCCGCCCCGCCAGTATGGCCCACTAACCGCTGGTGCAGCACGGCTGCCCTGCCCTTGGCATTCCCTTCTGGCATGGCTGAGGTGGAGGAAGAGGGAATGCAGAGGAAGAACGCAAAGGAAGTGAGAGGTGGGGGGCCCAGGCCGGGAGCCATGGCTGCGCAGCCTTTGCAGCACCTGCCCTCTCGCCTGCCGGCTTCGCCGGCTCCTTCCCTGTGCTGTGCGGGAACTACAAAGCCGAGCCCGGGCAGGGGCAAGCGGGGCTCCCGCGCTCGCTGCCGCCGCCCCCCTGTGCCCAGCCGTACAGGCTGAACAAGCAGGTGCGAGGCCCCGCGCTGCCCGCGATCCTCTGCCAGCGGCCGCACAGGGGCTCGCCCCCCCCCCCCACCGCAGGCTTCGCAATCTGAGGATGCGGCGGCCACGGCGGGGGCACCCACGGAGCTCCGCGCTAGAGGGTCCCGCCGAGGGCGCCGGCACAGGCGGGGCCAGGCGGGCCTTCCCCGGGGGAAATGCCCGAGGAAGTGAGAGCGCCCGCCCCGCCCCGCCCGGGCCTCCCCAGGCGGCCCGCTCGGGGGCCGAGCAAGGCGCGCAGGCAGAGATGTGGCTGGTCGCGCTGCTGCTGCCGCTGCTGCCGCTGCCGCGCGGCCTCCGCGGACACGGTGGGTAGGCGGCCGCCCCGCGGGGTCGCGACGGACCGCGCCGCCGCGGCCCGCCGAGCGGGCGC